AAAAGAAATTACGCATGCTCCCATTTCTTATAGTATTGTCCTCTTTCTTTTTTTAAATATATTTTATTGATTTTTTTACAGAGGAAAGGAGAGGGATAGAGAGTTAGAAACATCCATGAGAGAGAAACATCGATCAGCCGCCTCCTGCACATCCCCCTCTGGGGATGTGCCCACAACCAAGGTACATGCCCCTGATTGGAATCGAACCTGGGACCCTTCAGTCCACAGGCTGATGCTCTAGCCCAGGGGTGGGCAAACTTTTTGACTTGAGGGCCACAATGGGTTCTTAAACTGGACCGGAGGGCTGGAACAAAAGCATGGATGGAGTGTTTGTGTGAACTAATATAATTTCAAAGTAAACAGCATTACATAAAAGGGTACGGTCTTTTTTTTTCTTTTTTTTTTTTTAGTTTTATTCATTTCAAACGGGCCGGATCCGGCCTGCAGGCCCTAGTTTGCCCACGGCTGCTCTAGCCACTGAACCAAAATGGTCAGAGCCAGGAAGATGTTTTTCTTTGTTTCTAATCTTCACAAAGTGCCTTCAGTTACAGCAACAGTCCCACCCTGGGTACTTGAGGAAGAAAGAAGGTAATTAATTAGGTGCTCGTGAAATCATTGGAAGGATAGTAGGAATGGCAGTCTGGGTTTGAGACACTTGAGTTCAAGTGTGTAACCCCTAATGGAGCTTAAGTCTAGAATTCAGGAAGATGCCACTGCTGCTAACAAGAGGAGGCCCAGACGGACTTGAACACACATGGGAAACTACCAACCAGATGCTTGCACAAACAACTGACCTCCCTTGCTCACCAGCTGTTGCCAGCCAGAAGACTCAAATTCCTCTTCAGTGCCCTAGTTGCAGGGGAGTCTGGGAAATGTAGTGTCTGGCTAGACAATCATGTTTGCAGCTGAAGCTATGGATAAGGAAAGATGGAATGGAGGATCTCCCTTAACTGTCCGTTACACACCTAATCTGGAGAATTTTATATTGACTCAAAAAAAATATTGCTTCAGACCCTTTCTCATACTATATAGATGGGAAAATAAGATGATTTGACAGAAGCACAAAATGAACCACAAAAACAAGGGCAGTAGGACATAGGCTTACATTCGCTGAATATT